GCCAACCTACATGTCAGAACGGCCAGTTACTCATTCCCCGATATAGAACTAGCGCACGCACGCCATTCACCACCTGCTCATCCCACCATTCATACCTCTCTACCAGTTGCCTTTTCCCCGCCGCATTACCCCCCTTTTCCCTTTCTCCTTGTCCCCTTTCTGATGCCCTGCATCTGCCCGCGGGCGAACGTTCATGCATCCCCAACTTTTTTCTCTGCGCCTGCAGCTTTTTTTGGTGTGTGTATATGTATGTATGAATGTATGTCGCAGATGCATGTGTAGTAGGACAAAGCTCCTGGGCCAGCAGATCACGCGTAGTGTAGCATACGTAAGACAATAGATAGATAGCTTGACAAAGATCCCTTTTTCCTCTAGGTATATCAAGTCAGGCGTATCCCCCCTTTCCTTTCCTCATCACCACCACCCCCCGATCTTGCCTATCTATCCGCCGGTGCGCGTGGTTTCGCGCGTGACGAGCACACGACATCGCCATCGCGGGGTTTATCTTTAGCGTCTGGGTTTTCATTCCATTCCATTTTAATTTTAATTTTTGTCTTTTTTTATCTTGCTCTCCAATGGTCTCGAAGGTCCCGGATCGGAGGAACCCATCTCTGCCAAGCGGGATGTGATACGCTTCCGTAGCTGCGTTCCCTTACTGCTGCTGCCAGCTTCCCCTCATCGATCATAGGTACCTAATGTATGTACGCTATGGGAGACCGCATAGCATGGCATAGCGTGGCATGACATGGCAATCCGCGCATGTGTCGCCGATGGGAGGTTCCGCAATCGAGAAAGGCTACTCGATAGCTTGCGTACCGTTGGCTGGTCGCATCCCATATCCCGTATCCCGTATTCCGTATTCTATATTCTGTATTCCGTATGTGTGTATTACCTAACATAACAACCCATAACATCAAACCGATCCAGGTTTTTTCCCTTTATTACCCCAGTCTTTCGAGATACTGTACATAACCTACCGGGTTCCCACCCCCTCTCCCCCCCAAAGGCCTAGTCCTAAATAGCGGTAAGACATGCTAATGCAATATCAACACTCTTATGGTATGTAATTGGGGTGGGCATACCCGGAAGATGCGATCCGATTCTCGCTTGCCTCCGACAACCTCCTTTGCATCCTTGATGTGACTTGACACCCGGATGTCTCTGTTGTCGCACCTTACCTTGCCCTAGTCCGGGCACATGACCCCCGATAGCGGCAGCAGCTGTGAGCTAGCTAGTGGGCTTCGGTCGGCCGGTCCGTGGGGCTATGCTTTCCGCCCGGAGTCTAGTCATTAGTTGTTGTGTCAACGCGTACGGAAACCGATTCTAAGTGGTTTAAACCCCTTTATTTTCTCCAATGCTTGTCCCATCGTGGTTTTGATGTTCGTCTCTTGGGTCCTGATCGATCTTCTATCGATATGCCTAACGGTCGGTGTTATTCCTAGCATATGAAGTTGATTCTTTCTTTGCTCAGTTAGTTCATGTCGGTGACAGGGTGCTGGCAAAGGTCAATGGCTCCGTGAACTTCTTCGAATGGCCAACAGTTGAGAATAATTTGTGTTAATATCGTCTGTTCGACTAACGCTCCTAATCTGCTGACGCGACGCCAATGCTGTATCCTTCTGTATAACGGCCGATATGTAGGTAGTTCCAGTTGTAACAATGAGCTTTGCAGTAGAGGGTAATAAGTAATGAGCAACAATAGACGTGACTGAGAGGTGTTGGGTGGGACGTCGGCTTAACAATTTTTCGGACAGTCTCCTATATTGATTGTAAACCTTGAGTCAGCACATTCTCGTCCGGGGTATGGGCTGGACACTAGACCTTGACCAGGGACGTTCTTAAGAGAAAGGATAGTATTTAGCCAGTGACATCATACGCGCCGTCACGGTCAGGATTTGACTTGTTTATTGCAAGAGACAGGTTCGTAGAGCCTTCGCTGTCGTCGAGGAAACATACCCCTGAATCGTAACAACCATTGCAACATCGTCATGGTAATTGTAGACAACCATTTCTGTCTCTGGCTGCTTTGATCTAGCATTTCCTTCGCATATTCTGCTGCTAGTAAGTTTCTTTTGCTGCAATTTGGTAATACGACAGACAATATTGTTGGAGATCTTGAACAAGGTGGTGTATTTCCCATTCACACTTGGCCGACGCGTGCTCTAGATGTGTCTTCTTCTGGTCGATAGGCATTTTCTTTCTTGGTAATAAGGTGTAGAGTCCTAACCTCGACTCGGTTTCGATGTTATAGCTATTGTATTCGAGCAATCCATCAAAGGCGACCGTGGTTTTGTAGGACTATCCTGTCCTATTCGAGTGGCCTTTCAACTAGAGACCTGAGGTAAGCTGCGACACGCCCCAGGTTGGCAAAATCAGTGAATGAATGGTACCTGAACTTATCATACTGATAGTATGGTAGAAGCTTTCTTAGTGTTTAGGATGGCTTTAAACCAGTAACAACCATGACGCGACCGTGGGATAACCTGGAATTTCCACTGTCAGTTACTTTCCAACTTGATAGAAAGGGGGTTGTCTTTACAAGAACCTGGAAAATTTGCTAATAATTCCTTGGTTAACCCAGTGGAATAGCAACATATGAAGGAGGAAATGGTAGAGAAAATAGTAGATTGGGCATCTCTTATAGAGCAGTGTGAATTACCTACCTAGGTAGATATAGGTGATCCAGCTCCGTCTCTCAGTTGGTTCGAAGAACATGTTTATGTTAGAAAGTATGTCAATAATACCAAGCATGGGGTGAACGTACAATACAATTGGAAAAGCAGGTCCAATGCAGCTGCAGTAGGTGCAACTGCTACGGACTCGACAAGCAAATACCTACCTCCTACAGTAGGTACTGTACGTGGGGAAGGGGGCGTCTAGCGAAGTACGATACAAAAGCTTTCAATGACTTTAAGGCATACAATACTTGGTACGTTGAAATCTCTGCGTTAACATGCTGCAGTGTACCAATTATTTCGGAGTTTTATCATATTAAAATAATTATTGATCTCATATGCCACGGTTACAAGAAGATACTAAGAGTCCACCTGGATACGGCTTCGTTGAGCCACATGATATTATCTTCTACATTTCGTGTGCTAACTATCTACTAATTTCCGTAGATACTTCGACGGCATATGTAAGTACTTGGGCAGTTTCTAACTGCCAGACTTCTACTAGTAGGTAGTACTCTACCATTATCTTGCCTACTACCTATACACTCATCACCCCTATTCTCCTAATTCGTGTAACCGGCAATAGCGACATGAAGGAACTAGTAGGTCCCTTGGGCTTTGTGGCTTCTATAAATAAATCTTAACAAGTAGATCAACTACGGTAGACTGCGTATTAGGTACTATGTACTGTGTATTGCATTAGGTATGGATAGAGGTAGGTTGTTCTGCTGGTTGAACGTGGGTCCTCGAGCACTTGCCTCTTTCCTCGAATATCTGCATTCATTTATACATGTGTCAAGGTGGTCAAGGTGGTCTACGCTCAAGAAATAACTGGTGTGGCTTACATACCTTGAACTGGGTTATTCAATTATTAGAGGTACGCACCCTTCGAGTTTCCTTTCTTCATACCAATTCCTCGAGTATATTTCTTCCGCACCATACCTCAAACCATACCTCACACCATACCTCGACGTCATTGTCATCCATATTTCTTCCGTCGAGACAACTCTTTTACGATTCCTCCACAGTTTATGAGAAGGTAAGTCGTTCAAGTTTCTCTTCTGTTGGTACAGGTAATCGTACAATGGCCTGAGCTAGCGCTTCCCTCGACTACACCATACTCCCCACCCAATTCACCCCTTCGATTAACTTCAATTTCCATACAATACCTTCAGATAGTTTAACGAAAAGCATCTTCACTCATCATCAATTACGCACCAATTACACTTTAATTCCCCTGCTAGTAGCATACCGCCTACCATTGGTGGAAAACATCCGACGTTGGCAAGACCTTTTCTCATACATTTTCTCGTGCAGCATTATATTATTCCCCTAACCAGCCTTCCATCATCTATTCCATAACAACTACTGATATCTGACCTGTACAGAGCTGTCTTTGACATTACCCTCGATCACCCGGTCGTTCTCACCATGTAAGCGACTTACTACTGGTCCCAGACAGGTGTTGTTACATGAAATATACCAAACTCTGTTGACTCGGACTAACATTTATTTTAACTACCATTTCTGCAATTCAAATACTTTTTTTTCCCCGATACCAATACTTGGACTCGGCCCTGTTTTATTTACATAGGATCTCCGATTGTTCATCAGGACCTTTATTATTCTGATCTGTCAAGCTACACTTATCACTAACGGTCCTATCTAGTCGTCAACCTTTTCGCAACGGAACTCATCTAAAAAGCTCTTGACGTCCAATCAGGTATGTCGCCAACTTTTCATTTCGACTCGTCCTCACTTCCTTGTACTATTCACTATCTCCGTGTGAATTATCTAGTGGATCCCCGATATGTATCTACGGCATTGAATACAATTGAGCAACGCTACCTTGACCCCTTGACCCCGGGATTCATCCCAAGTGGACGACTCTCGTACTTTTCAATTCACCGAGGTCAACGCTTTCGCCGTATAAGAGAATATATATACCACGATTACGCGTTTCAAATATTTTTTTTTTGGACTTTTCCCCAGTGATGCCTCTGTTATTCGCTAATATTTTATTCATCCTTATTCGAGACATTATATCGATACTACATACTTCAATTATCTACCCACGAGCTTACGCTAACTTGCTGGACTAGAAAGTGCCAGTTCTGACGCTTAAAGCCTATTTGACCTGATCTGGAGATCGGTGACCATAGTAAGTTTAAAACCTAGGTACATTACGAATCAGCATTTAACAATCGATCCCTACACTTGCCTACACTTGACTCAGCTATTCTTATTTGTTTCCATTTGAGACTTGATAGCGCTAGGCTAACCGTGTCCCAGAATCACTGACTCTTAAAAGGCTTTATCGTCGCGATGGATTACATCCAAGACATTCGCCGTGCTGGCAACCTCCCCTATCCTAATCTCATCCGCGCTTACGCAACATCGAACCAAGAGCGTTGCTTCCTTGAGCCTGAAAACCCCTCCAAGGCGGCTGGTGCTGGCAACCAGCACCAGACCGCCGCAGAGGGCGCTCTTGAGAGATCGATCAAGTTCCGCTTTGGAAGTTTCGGTTCCATCTCCCACGTTTACCGACGAGACAGGGCCGGGCAAGGCTTCCACTTCGTGATATACTTTCGTCGCGACCGCGGTGACATCGACCATGGACTTGCTCGATCTAATGAAGATATCTACGAATGTGCTAAGATGAACATCTTACGCCACCCTCTGAGCAAGGACTTAAATAATCCGGTGTATACTACTCGGGAACCCATCACTCACCCTCTAGTCCAGGGGCTGCTACGTTTGAATAATTACCCGTCAATTCCGGACGCGGTCATGAGTGTGAGAAGGATTGGTGATTCTAGTATTTACCATCACTAACTTGTTCATAGGGACCTATGCTGCCGCGATACAGCCTGAGTCCTGGAGAAGTCCAGGATCCCTCTAAGCCAGGACAATTCTCCAAGCCCAAACATATGCAACCCGCAGCTCTTACCAAAGTCTTTGAGATACCGGAACTTTGCATGGCGATCATGCTAGAGCTTGGCCACCGCTGGGGAGACTTGTCTAACCTTGGCCGAACATGTCAAACCGTCATGTGTGCAATCAATAATATCTCGGTAAAATGCCTTATATAGAGCGAAGGGCTACTGTTGAAGCTAACACTGGTATAGACTCGAGTAGACATCACCCGCGGTAACTTCCTGAATTTGGAATTCAGTGACGCCGAGATCAATACAGTTAATGCTGGAGCAACCCCTGAAGCCCTACTCTCGGGCAAAGTCATGAAGCCTCCCTCATCCCAATTCTTGGTTGTTTCGAATGTCCGATACCCCTACGAGGCCCCGGAAGGCGGAGAGGACGAGCCGGACGAATTCGGTCTTCCCGCTCGCCCTAAGGGAAAGTCATTCAAGCTAACTGCAGAGAGGCGAGTTATTGATACGTATCGACTTCGTAAGTCTTTTCTTATCATGTGTCCTGCAAAAGCTAACTGGTACTCAGTACGAACCATCGATAGCCGCGGCCATCAGATTAAGATCCTCCACCTCCACGCCGTGCCGAACTTCGATATTCCCCTTCTCAAGAAATGCCTCGAGCGGCTGCCGAACTTGGAGACACTCGGAGTTTACAATTGCGAACTCCTGCATTTCGGCGAGACCATTCCGTTCCTGGAAGCTGTAATTGAACACAACAACAAACCGGGAAATAAATTTGTTCGTCCTGACTTCTCGCCTGTCTACTACCCCGGACTGCCCGTAGGGGCGGAAGGACGTACGGGCGAGTACGGCGTCATCCCGTCGGATCAGGGATTAATTGACACCCGCAGGGCTATTGTCGCGGCGCTGCGCAAAGTCGTCTTCCTTGCCCTATCAAATAACATCGACTGGTTCACGCCTGGCACTGCTATGCGGCAGTATCTGGAACGTATTCCCTTCGCCCTCGGCTCGCTTCGCTATATCCTCGAGGCTTGCTACAACATCTACTATCACGAGCAGGGCTTTTACTACCCGTTCTTCGAGGAAATCCTAAAGCGAAACATACAGATGGATAACAACGGGCCTCGACACGAGGAAATGTGTCGCACCCTCTACAACGATCTCATCCTGGCGGTCGAGGGTAGACCTATGGAGCGCGATAAGTTGCTCGCATTGACCACGAGCGGGAAGCACTTCCAGCTTATCCATTGCGCATTCTGCTCGACCTCCTTGCCTGCGTATTTCTTTACGCAGAAGTCTGTGAACCGTCAAGCGGACCAGGTGGAATGTTGCGGATGCCAATTAACCACCCAGCTCAACTACCAGGTCGACAACTTCTTCCGGGAGAAGAAGGGGGTTTTGCGCATCCTGTTCAAGGACGAACGGATTACGGACATCGGCAGCTTCCTCAACGCTAAGCGAACTGCTACCCCGGAGGAGCTCGGCAATCCCAAATTCGACTTCTGGCTCGTATCCGTCAAGTCGAAGGCAGAAGTAGCGGCAGCAAGGCCCCGCGACGGCGGTGACGGCACCGGAGACCTCATCCTCGACGGGCGTCCGGGCCCGGACAACGACGAAGAGGCGAAGCAGGTGTGGATTTGGAAGGAGCGCGTGGTGAAAGCGATGCGATATGCGAAGGCCAGCATCGACCAAGGCTCGGCAACGCTGGAGAAGACCATCGCGGACTACGACAGGGAGATCAAATACTTGGACGACCTGTACTTCAACGGACGCGGCCTACGCTGGGCGGCCGACAGGCGCAAGAACCGCGACAGGGTGGATCTCATCTATCGCTACATCGAGCAGGAGAAGGCGCGGTGCGGCCTGGCGCAGATGCAGGGGCGACATGGCGCCAAGCTCGCGGCGAACTGGGACGATGAGATCAAGAAGTACCGCGAGATGGTCTGGATACAGGCCGGAATCATTAAGAACAAGGGTCCTCGCCATGTGTACGAGACCAATGGCGGCGTGTACTAAGCCCGGCCTATCGTTAACATTGTTTCTGCGTGCTTCCCGAGGGCTCTTAAGACGTATTTAACTTTTTTCCTGGCCACTTCTATTGACGAGACGGTAAAGGTACCTAGCTTACCTATGTAATCACCCAATATGGGTTTCCTCAGCATGAGCATGAAGACCGGCAACGACGCCTAGGTCCTACATGCATTTTCCTTACGCTTTTCGGCTTTCGACATACGAGACCTGCCCATGTCTCTCCTTTACTTTACGAACGCCTTTACTTTGCGAATGATTTCGCCATTTTTTTCTGTGCAAAGATTAGCCTATGTCTTCATCATACACTTACTTAGCACAAGTGAAGATTAGCTGGTTAGGATCCTGGCCCTATAGACTTTCGCACATATTTTCTACGGCTGTCCCTTACACGACTCGGACACGCTATCTCTCCTTTTATTCTTTTGCAAAAACTACACTTCTACAAAAAAAAAAAAAAAAAAAAAAAAAAAAAAAAAAAAAAGGGAAAAAAAAAAAAAAAAAAAATTTTTTAAAAAAAAAAAAAGGACCCAAAAAAACAAAATTTTAAAAATAAATAAAAAACAAAGCGCAAAGGGGTGAAACCGGCGGAAAGTGTTAAT